GACCACCCTCTCTTAAGCACCCTCTCAAGCTGTCTTTTCTGTCATGAACTCAAAGTACTTTGCCCTTTCCTTCCACACTATTATTGCTGAAGAGTAGGGCACATACTCGAAAGTGGAGTGCTCAAGTCAGATGATAAACTTTCTAAACATCCCAAACTGGCAAGATAAAACCCACATTTTCTCCTCCCATTACTCATTCTCCCCAATAAGTGCATTTTGTACATGCCAAAGACTGCCCACCGCAAAAAAAAAATGGATATCAAGTCTCACCAAAGATGACTTTGAAACCCCTAAACACTATCTCCTAGGTGAGTACCATCAATTCCCTTTAGCGTGTACACAAGGCACAGTATGTGAGCACACATAGCAAAATAGATACAACTGAGTTTACATCAAGCTACATGCTCTTTCTCCACTGTCTAGCTTACACTACAGCCACTGTCTCATTTCAGTCACAGTCATATATATTAGACAATATTATTGTAAACAAGGCAGGTGTATGAAGAGGACTAGCATCTCTGGAACCTCTCTGCTAGGAGGTCATCACATGAAGAGACATGATGTTTAAACATGGTTTACAAACACAGTTTAGCAGCCGTATCTTTAGAGTTGAGCTCAAATGGAAATACAGCTGTACAAAGACACTCCTTAAATCACAAATGTTTTGTTCTTGTAGATCTTCAGGATGGAAAATGCCACCCATTAAAATTGTACACCTCTACAAGTTTCAGTCCTTCTTCAATCAATTCTTCTAAAACACTGAAAGAGGCATTCAAATTGAAGCTGGCATCCAGCCTTCATTATGGTGGTTGTTACTGCTGCCAACAGCAGAACCAAGAAGCAGATATTAGAAATAGCTGAGCTCATTAGTTCAAAACCCAGCAAGGGCTGGCTGCCCATCAGTAGAGGTATCCTAACTGAATGCCAAGACTGAAATTCCATTGCACAGGAGGGATATTAAAAAAGGAGGCACTGAGAACATTAAAGAGTTCATTTAACTATAGTCTTACCCCTACATGATCCAAAGACAATGATTAACCAAAGATAACTCTCAGGGGAAGATGGCTGCATCAGGGGCAACTTCCCATTTCATTTGACTTTACATGTACTTCAGTGTCAAAGTTTCTGATGCACTATATTACTACTTCTGTCTGGGGACATAACTATCTTGACATGCCTCCAATAGGTCTACCTTGCCTTCCAAAGACATGTTTAGAGCTGGGTTATACACAGAGCACTAAAGGAGGTTGCCTGCTCAACCAAGCCCAGGTGAGAAGCACAAAGATGATCAGAGAGCTGGAGCACCTTTCCTATGAGGAAAGGCTGAGAGGGTTTGGGTTGTTCAGCCCGGAGAAGAGAAGACTCCAGGGAGACCTTACAGCAGCCTTCCAGTACCTAAAAGTGGCCTACAGGAATTCTGGAGAGGGACTTTTTACAAGGACATGGAGTAACAAGCCAAGGGGGAAAAGCTTTAAGTTGAAAGAGGGTAGATTTAGATTAGACATTACAAAGAAGCTCTTTACTGTGAGGATGGTGAGACACTGTGAGTGTTCAAGGCCAGGTTGGACAGGGCTTTGAACAACCTGCTCTAATGGAAGGTGTCCCTGCTCATGGCAGGGAGGTTGGAACTGGATAATATTTTAGATCCCTTCCAACCCAAACCATTCTATGATTGTAATCTATTACCCTTCTAAAGGGTCAAAGACAATGAAACTGGGAGGGGATAAAAAAAAAAAAAAAGACAAGAATTTCACCTTGTTCATACACAATATGAATACATACAAAATTAACATGAGCCAGCAGTGTGCACTCGCAGCCTAGAAAGCCAACCGCATCCTGAGCTGCATTAAAAGGAGCGTGACCAGCAGGTCAAAGGAGGTGATCCTGCTCCTCTACTCTGCTCTCATGAGACTTCACTTGGAGTATTGTGTGCAGTTCTGGTGTCCTCAACATAAAAAGGACACGGAACTGTTGGAACAAATCCAGAGGAGGGCCATGAGGACGATCAGGGGACTGGAGCACCTCCTGTATGAAGATAGGCTGAGGAAGTTGGGGCTGTTCAGCCTGGAGAAGAGAAGGCTGCGTGGAGACCTCATAGAAGCCTTCCAGTATCTGAAGGGGGAGCTATAGGGATGCTGGGAGGGACTCTTCATTAGGGACTGTAGTGATAGGACAAGGGGTAATGGGTTCAAATTTAAACAGGGGAAGTTTAGACTGGATACAAGGAAGAAGTTCTTTACTGTTAGGGTGCTGAGGCACTGGAATGAGTTGCCCAGGGAAGTTGTGAATGCTCCACCCCTGGCAGCGTTCAAGGCCGGGTTGGATCGAGCCTTGGGTGACATGGTTTAGTGAGAGGTGTCCCTGCCATTGGCAGGGGGGTTGGAGCTAGGTGATCTTAAGGTCCTTTCCAACCCTAACTATTCTATGATTCTATAATATCAAAATAATATCATGCTCCCCTTTTAAATACAGAGTAGCTCATGTTGCCAATATTTTGAAAGCAGCAGCTTTCTTCATTTATGGCTAACACATTACTCCAGCATTCTTAAGGAGAAAGGGTTTTTTCTTATATTTTTGAGGTTGTGCTGTCCCTGGACTTCTTGCCTATGGATTAAGAGGCAACAGGAACACATTCTCATTAGCAGAAGTACTAACTGTTCAGTTAACAGGTACACTGCAGTAGTGATGACCACCTATCAATGTAGGTATTTGACATCAAGGTCACATTTGTCTGACCTGCAGACAGGTAGTTTCAGGGACTCAACTTTATACAAGTCAAATGATAATATTTAAAGACACTATCTAAACTCTCGGTTCAGCAGGCCAGCAGAAACTCTTCAGAATAGCCCTCTAGTAGAGTGATTTTGTTATCATAAGGATCCCAGGCTTGGCTTCTTAACACCCACTGCTCCAAGTGCCAAACCTACCTTGGTGGATTCTGCAGTGACACAAGGAGACACATTAATTCTAAGGCAAGGTTTCAATTCAGAACCTGCACCAGACAGGAATTTGGAGCAAGAGGGAAAGAACTGGGAAAGGATGTACAAACCAGAACTGAAACTCCTGTCAAAAGTCATCAAAAAATAAACTTTTCCCCCTAACTCCCTACGGGAAAGAGTCATTATTTCATTACTTTGTTCTGCAGTCCTAGTTGCACTGTATTTTACAGTGTTTACAATAATTCTCATCTTTCTACTTGTAATTAAACCAAATGCTTCCCTCAGCTTTGTAGGGGTAGCCACCCACAGATTTTAGCCCTTTGTATGAATTAAGTGTTGGACAATGCTCCCTCAGACTGTCAGGCAGGAGCAGAGAAGCTTTTCCCACTACTAAAGTCTTTCTGGATCACAAATGGAACAACCTGCTGTGCACAGAAGATTCACGATATGAACTTCAGTTCTGCTGGTATGAAACTAACAATTTGAAAAAGTCACTTAATAGGATTATCTAAATATGATAAAACCTTTCCATAAGAGACAAGATGCATGTACTGGTTGCTTTAGGAGTTGGAAGAGCTACAGAGAAATAGCTCTAAGAAACCAGAAGTGCTGGTGTGAGGTAAGAATGAAGGCTCTTTGGTAGCTGCACCATGGTTAGCTTTAATGCCATCATCTGCTGTCAGTGACATAACATTCAGAAAAGTGTTACAGTACACACTGAAGAGTAAATCCATTTTCCAATTTCTGCAGACAGGATTCCTTTACTGTAGTTACTTGCATCTTTCTGCAAAGTTGCAGTAGTAACCCCAGCTGATGGTTGCTGAAATTGAAAGAAAAAAAACAACACAACAGGTCAAGCATCACCACAGCACTGCCATTTACTGCAGAGTCAAACTATGCAACACTACTTCAAACTAGGAAGTTGTTAGCGTGTGCAAGGTTTTCTAGCCTATTCAAGTAGAGTTCACGTACCTTCCACTAGCTTGGGAGTAAGATGTTGCATTCTATCACTACAGCTGAACTATCCAGCAATATTACTGTTACACTAGCATGAAAATCTGTTTACATAGGTCAAGAATATTTTCCATACAGAAGTGTCGGACATGGTTTGTGTGCTGTTCCCAGCAGAACCCCTACCATTGAGATCTACAAGGAATTATAGAAAAATTTAGTTTGGAAAAGACCCTTAAAATCATCAAGTCCAATCATTACCCGAGTACTGCTAAGCACACCACTAAACCATGTCCCTACACACCATATCTACACATCTTTTAAACACCTCTAGGGACAGTGACACAACCACTTCCCTGGACAGCCTGTTCCAACATTTGACAACATTTTCTTGAAGAACTTTTTTCTCATATCCAGTCTAAACCTCCACTGGTACAACCTGAGGCCATTTCCCCTTGTCCTATTACTTGTTATCTTGGAGAAGAGACCAGCACCCCCTCGCTACAGCCTCCTTTCAGGTAGCTGTAGAGAGCACCAAGGTCTCCTCTGAGCCTCCTTTTCTCCAGGCTAAACAATTCCAGTTCCTTCAGCTGCTTCTTGTAAGACTTGTGTCCCAGACCCTTCACCAGCTTCATTGCCATTCTTTGGATGCACTCAGCACCTCAGTGTCTGTCTTGTAGGGAGGGACAACATCACTAAGCTGTCTGGGTTGCTGCTACGAGGTCTGCAGTTTTTAACATACATAAGGGGAAGCAAGGACAGGGGTGTCTTCAAAAGAAGAAACATTTACAGGTATCTTGATACTGCCCCAGCTTGTTGGTATGAGTTTCCCCAGCAAGATACAAAATTCCTTTCCCATCACAGCACTTCCTTTCCCCCACCATGTTATACATACATTTAATCCCCACATCTAAGCAGAAAGATGTTAGAGACTGATCTTCATGCAGGCTGGTCATTCTCTCAGGTTGACAGCTTTTTCACAACATGCTGTATTATAGAACTGTTTATTTTAGTGTGTTTACTTTCAACTTGCAGAAAGGGTGATTTCAGCTACACTGACCTACTTTTCACACTTTGATGACGACCTGCAGAATACTCGTGCTGATTCCATGTTGCCAAAGGCAGACATTCTTTATTTTCTGTGGAAATAAGTGTTTGAGCATTTCCAGTTAAAAACATAGAATCATAGAATGGTTAGGGTTGGAAAGGACTTTAAGATAATCTAAATCTACAGTACTTCACCTTAAACACAAGTGAAGTTAACTGTCACTGTCAGCAAGACTTTTGCAGGTAAAAACCATCCAAGCCAGTGAGGTATCTTTATGCATGAGCCATTTGGTCCAGGACTGACAGATTTCCATACAAGTAGCCACTTCTAGTCTGAATTCACACAGCACTCCTCAGGTTAACTTTCTTTCAGTTGCACTCACGGAGGTTCTGGAAGCGCTCAGCTAGCTTTGTGCTGCAATTCGTATGTGTCTCTCCAGTGGAAGCTAAAAAAATTATAAATAAATTAAAATCTAACATACTTATTGGTCTATTTTTGCTGCCTGCCTCCCTGAAGGGAGCAGGGTATCAGTTAATATAAGCAAATATGAGACCTTTGCACAATAAATCTTTGACACAGATAATTGGCATGATTATTTCAGTCTCTCATCTTCCTTTTCAGGGCATGTTATTGAGAAAGCTGTGGCAAAACAGCAGTGGCTTTATCTGGATTCCTCAGATTTTCTGGATCTCTTTCCATCTGGTCTCAGACCTGGCATCAGTACAAACACATACTTGGGCTCACTGGTCAGACTTCTCACAGGGGACAAAGACCAAATGGACATTTTTAGATGACAGATTCAAAGCAGGCTGTGATACCAGCTTCCACATGCAGGTTTTTGTGACTGCTTCAGACTAAGAAGAGTAAGTAGTACTCATAGCACTGCACATCTGGAAGAGTAAGTACACTGAGCTTCTGCGCAGGGTTAAGCGGTTTTATTTCCTCATACCTTCTATAGCCTAAGAGGCTACTGAGCTTGGTCTCATCTGGAGGAATTTGCTTCTCTGACCCTAGTGATTAAGGTTCCTCTTCTCATTGGAGGATATTGCCCACCTTTCCATCAGCCTATAAGATGAGCCCAGGAAGAAGTAGCACCAGCGGGAAGGATCAGAAGAAGCAGGACTTGCTTTATCATTGAATAGCACAACTGCTGCTTATGTGATATTATACTGCTTAAGGGGATAGAAGGCAAGCTAATGCACTGGCAGGGAACAAGGGAGATAAAGTATCAGTAACCACTTCTCAACCACCTGCAGCTGCCCATTCAGGAGTTACAATATTCATTTCTCCTCAGCCATACAAGAAGACAATAGCAAATCACACTCCCTCACACTGCTCAAATGTAAGCCTCAGGATGGTTCTAATCTCTATAGCCATAAAGCGTTGCTGACCCCAGCTGAGGTTTGTTTAAAAATAGGTAAATAGCAAGAATGAAGGCCTAGACTGTGGTGGCTGGCATCTATCCCCAAAAGAGCAGCTCAGTGCCATCTAAAATTAATAAGTGATAGCAGCACCCAGGGCAAACAGCCCTCAGTGGGCTTCCAGCTAAGACACCTGTTCTGAAGCAAAAGATGCTTCACTTGCTTCACTTCTCCAGTCCACCTTGTTCAGCTACCTCTTCAAGTTGGGAAGTTATCCCAGGCATTAGCTGGCTAAGCAAACACTGAGAACTCCTAGGTTCACAAAAAAAAAAGCAACTTGATGCACTGAATTACGTATCATCCCACTTCTTACAAGCTTTTTGATCCATATGAAGAAAAACTGGATATAGAATCACAGAATAGTTAGGGTTGGAAAGGACCTGAAGATCATCTAGTTCCAACCCCCCTGCCATGGGCAGGGACACCTCACACTAAACCATATCACCCAAGGCCTTGTCCAACCTGGCCTTGAACACTGCCAGGGATGGAGCATTCACAACCTCCCTGGGCAACCTATTCCAGTGCCTCACCACCCTAACAGGAAAGAATTTCCTCCTTATATCCAATCTAAACTTCCCCTGTTTAAGTTTGAACCCGTCCCCCCTTGTCCTGTCACTACAGTCTCTAATGAAGAGTCCCTCCCTATAGGCCCTCTTCACATACTGGAAAGTTGCTATGAGATCTTCACGCAGCCTTCTCTTCTCCAGGCTCAACAGCTCCAACTTCCTCAGCCTGTCTTCATATGGGAGGTGCTCCAGTCTTCTGATCATCCTCGTGGCCCTCCTCTGGACTTGTTCCAACAGTTTCATGTCCCTTTTATGTTGAGGACACCAGAACTGCACACAATACTCCAGGTGAGGTCTCACAAGAGCAGAGTAGAGGGGCAGGATCACCTCCTTCAACCTGCTGTCACGCTCCTTTTGATGCAGCCCAGGATACGGTTGGCTTTCTGGGCTGCAAGTGCACACTGAAGCTGGCTCATGTTCATTTGCTCATCAACCAACACCCCCAAGTCTTTCTCCGCAGGGCTGCTCTGAATCTCTTCTCTGCCCAACCTGTAGCTGTGCCTGGGATTGCTCCGACCCAGGTGTAGGACCTTGCACTTGTCATGGTTAAACTTCATGAGGTTGGCATCAGCCCACCTCACAAGTGTGTCGAGGTCCCTCTGGATGGCATTGCTTCCCTCCAGCGTATCAACCGAACCACACTGTGGTGTCATCGGCAAACTTGCTGAGGGCGCACTCAATCCCACTGTCCATGTCAGTGACAAAGATGTTGAACAAGACCGGTCCCAACACCGATCCCTGAGGGACACCACTCGTTACTGGTCTCCAGCTGGACACTGAGCCATTGACCACAACTCTTTGTGTGTGGCCATCCAGCCAGGTCTTTATCCACCGAGTGGTCCACCTATCAAACTGATGTCTCTCCAATTTAGAGACAAGGATGTCGTGCGGGACGGTGTCGAACGCTTTGCACAAGTCCAGGTAGATGACATCAACTGCTCTACCCCTGTCCATCAGTTCCGTAGCCCCATCATAGAAGGCCACCAAATTGGTCAGGCAGGATTTCCCCTTAGTAAAGCCATGCTGGCTGTCACCAAGCACCTTGTTGTTTTTCATGTGCCTTAGCATGCCTTCCAGGAGAATCTGCTCCAAGATTCTACCAGGCACAGAGGTGAGACTGACTGGTCTGTAATTCCCCGGGTCATCCATTTTCCCCTTCTTGAAAATGGGGGTTATATTTCCCTTTTTTTCCAGTCATCGGGAACTTCACCTGACTGCCATGATTTTTCAAATATGATGGCCAGTGGCTTAGCAACTTCATTCACCAGCTCCTTCAGGACCCGTGGATGGATCTCATCAGGTCCCATGGACTTGTGCACGTTCAGATTTTTAAGATGGTCTCGAACCAGATCCTCTCCTACAGTGGGCGCAAGGTCTTCATTCTCACAGTCCCTGAGTCTGCTTTCCAAGACTTGGGTGGTGTGGTCAGAGCCTTTGCCAGTGAAGACCAAGGCAAAGAAGTCATTCAGAACCTCAGCCTTCTCCAAATCCTGTGTAGCCAGTTCTCCCGAGAGCTTCCTGAGGGGGCCTACGTTCTCCCTTGTCTGTTTATTTGCTATGTACCTGTAGAATCCTTTCCTGTTATCCTTAATACCCCTAGCCAAGTTTAAGTCTAACTGGGCCTTAGCTTTCCTAACCTGGTCCCTAGCTTCCCGGACAACATCCCTGTACTCTTCCCATGCCACCTGTCCTTGCTTTCACCTTTTATAAGCCTCTTTTTTCAATTGAATTTTCCTCAGGAGCTCCATATCCATCCAAGGAGGTCCTCTGGCCCTTCTGCTGCACTTCCTTCTAATTGGGATACAACACTGCTGAGCTTGTAGCAGGTGATCCTTGAATATCAACCAAGAGTCTTGGGCCCCCCTGCCCTCTAAACAACCTTACTAAGCAGGTTCCTGAAGAGGCCAAAGTCTGCTCTTTTGAAGTCCAGGGCAGTGAGCTTGCTGCACGCTCTTCTCACTGTCCTGAGGATCTCAAATTCGACCATCTCGTGATTGCTTCATCCAAGGCTGCCCTGGAGGGTCCTGTTTCCAACAAGCCCTTCCCTGTTGGCGAGCACAAGGTCAAGCATGGCACCTCTCCTTGTCGGCTCCTCTATTACTTGCAGAAGGAAGTTGTCTTCCACACAATCGAGGAACCTCCTGGATTGCTTGTGCTGGGCCGTACCGTCCTTCCAACAGATGTCAGGGTGGTTGAAGTTCCCCACGAGAACAAGGGCCTCTGAGCGTGAGGCTTTTCCTATCTGTCTATGGAGTGCTTCATCCGCAGGTTCTCCTTGATCAGGCGGTCTGTAACAGATCCCCACAGTAATGTCTCCCATAGCTATATTCCCTTTAACCCTGACCCACTAACTCTCTGTGGACTGCTCACCTGTCCCCAGACAGAGTTCCATACTCTCCAGCCTATCCCTAACATAAAGGGCAACCCCCCCTCCCCGCCTGCCAGGCCTGAGATAACAGGAGGGGGAATCAAGTTTAAGAAATACAGGGAAATTCAGCCTTACAAATAGAGAGGGAAGAGTTAGGAAAAAAAAAAAAAACAACCTGATTTTATGTTGTTTGATAGGACTTCAGGCAGATACTAGTCAGTTTAGGTAAACTGTGACCCAAGAGGAAACATGTTTTCATTTAAGAAATTGGGCTGACAGTCACATTAAAACTGGTTTTGTAGGTTCATAAGAAAAGGCCAATTACCTGGACAGCTGTTAAGATTTCATGGGCCTTTAAAATTTAACATTGTAGCCACCAGTGAAGATTCCAGCCTAATTCAGTCTGGATCAGCTTGCTTAGCCTTTTCAATCCCAATTTTGCCATGACCGTTTGCTCCACACATTTCTCCAGTCAAGTCTCCTTGTAACCAGACAACCCCAGTTTCTCACTGTCTTTGGTCCTTTTTTAATTCCAGTCCTCTTAAGATTCAGAGGGGTCCTGCACATTTAATCAGCTTTCTTCCAGTACCTAATTGGAAAATACTGAAACCTTTGAGAAAACATTAAAGCCAAGAACAGTCATCTCTGGTTCTTCCAGCTGAAGTCTGCCAGCTCTTGCACACAGGAAGACCACTCCTATAACAGACTTTAAAAGACTTATTTCCTTTAGCAATTATATTAACATCTTAAACAAATATTGTTACCAGCTCACGCACAAGGCATCTTCTTCCCAGGTTTATTCACATGCCAGGCTGCTGGTTCATTCTCATCCCTCATCACCGCTCTAGCTCCTCCTCTCCCATTCTCAATCCGTCCAGCCTCCTAGGTCTTTTCTCTCTTCCCAACACCAGTTACAAGACCCATATGACTTCATTAACCAATTTCTCATTCATAATTCAAGTAGAAAGAAGTAGTTATCAACCAGACCCTCAAAAACCTTAATTATACTTAGCTCTATCCCCCTGAGTATATACTCAGCTCTAATCCAGCTCTATCACTGGCTACTACTTCAATTCCTAAGCCTCTGTTACTGGTCTGCTCACACACCAGCACATTCCTTTGTTTAGACAGGGCTTTTGACTCCAAACAGAGGGAAATAGTCAATTCAATGTTGCCCTGGTTTTGATCCATCAAGCCAGAAGAGTTTTAAATCTTGAAAGCAGATTTTACTCCTATTAGTTTTCAGTGACAGAGCAAGATCAGCATAGTCTAGCTTCCTATTGCTAACAAGCCCCTGGGTATCATACAGTTGCTAGCCATTGGGCAGTGACACAGTAGCTCAGTTTCTTGCAAAGATATTTTAGAAGCATCACACTATGTTATACTCGGATATCAAGACAGTGCACAGTGGTATAAAACAAAAGCACAATAGGAAAGGGCAAGAAAATAATGCAAATTTAAATTTTCCATAAGAAAATACAAACCATCTGAAAATAGTATCACGTGGTCTTGCAGAGAATCCATCTCTGGATTCAGCTACCTTCCCCCTGAGTACACACAGCCTACTAAGAGCACAGGTATGTTAGGGCTCACTCAGGAGAAGGACACACTGCAGTTCCCAAGTCTGGCTATGAAGTATCTGCCAAGGAGCTTCCTTCTTCCCTCTCTCTCCACCACAGGAATTTTCTCATTTGTAAGCAGAACCGAACACAAACTTCTTAGAAAAGTTTGCAGGGTAATTTAGTCATCCCTAGGTAAAGGGAGGGAATGCTTCAGTAGGTAAAACCAGAGCCAGAATTTGAACACCTGTGAACAGGGTTTAAGGGAGGGAAGATCTTAAGTTTGCACACCAAGAGGTTGACAGCGGTATTTGGCTCCAATACACAGATTTACATCCCTGCCTATGTCATCATTCTCCATGTTCATACAAAGAAGTGGATTCTGTTACAGAGTATGAGGACTACCTTGGAGCAGAGATATTCAGCTGAGCACTGTTCTTAAAATGGAGTCACTTAAAGTCCTCTAAATCAGGCGAACCTCAGGTTTGCAATGAACAGGCTACTACTATGTGGTAACTTAAATAAGAAAGCCTTGAAGCAGGACATGCATATGTCCTCGAGTATGGAAAGAAGTTTCTTCAGAAGTGCCAAAATGCAACCCACAATCCTTAAAAATCCACTACTGAAAGAATTGCTGAAGAGCAGGAAACAAAGTCAGAGAGCCTAGTCTCCCAGAATCATAGCTTGCCATGTTCTAATGACACTTGCTCAAACATTTTATTGGTCAGTTTTCTGAACTAGCAAGCTCTGAAGCTGGCTAAGTATTTATAAAAGAGGCTCAGCCTGGAATGGGAAGAGAGGAAGCCAAGGAATGGAAACAGCATCCTCACAGAAACTCAGTATAGTGTGAATTTAGAGATGAAATTTTTACTTGCTTTAAGATGGTTGTCTTACTATTGCCTTCCCAAGGAAATTCAAGGGCCTGAAGATTCTATGAAATGATGGCAGCTCTGATTTTGACATTTCTATGCAGAAAGCAGATACTGTCCAGTACTTCTGTCAACTCAAACAGGCAGAAATAGTGTGCCATCTCCAGAGCTGCATCCTGAAAGGGAAAGTATCCAAAAGAATTATTTTTTTTTTATCTCAAACCCAGGATATTACGTTTTTAGGAGGATGCATAAATCAGCAGCTAGCCTTTGCAACATTTCGCAGGCTAGACTGTATTGTTTAATAGGTAACAACCCAGATTCATTGGTCAAATTCATTAGGTATATATTAACTACATAGAAAAAAAACAACAAACCCAAAACAAAACAACAAACCACCAAGTCACTCTTACTAGCCAATGCTAGTTTTCCTTATCATTTTTCTACCTAAGCAGAAGTCATTTTTAACAACAGAAGCAGCCCAGTACAAACATTACTTTCAGCTAAAATTCTTTCCACACAGTACTAAATAGTTGAGGCAGAAGACAATAGTTACCGGTTTGGAGTAGCTCTACTCCTGCCAGCGGTGCCACACAGCAGATTCACAACTAAGATGATACTGGAACTGCTTATCTTCATCTCAGTACTTGTTAGTCAGGACTCCCCCAAAAAGGGGAGTCAAAATCCATAGCAACAGCTACCCCAAGCCCAGCAATGAATAGCTAGGGACCTGCCTAACAGGTTCACTCTAGCTAACTTCTTGACTTCTGTTTGTTACCTTGTCCTGGGCATCTCACTCCATTTTCTACTTCAAATCATTCCCCCCAGCATAACTGTATTTTTTTTAAAAAGTTTTCCACTTTTAGACTTACATCAGTCTTCCTTCTCCTCATAAGAAGCATGAGTTAGAGATTCCTCCATCCCTTTGATCAGGACCAGCCCACCAAGAGCAGCAGTACTACAGACCTGAACACACTGCTTTTCTCGTTCACAGTCTAGTTTCACTAACTGGAAGACAGGATGCAAGAGCCACAATCTGCCCTGAAAGAAATATATACCACACTTGAACTGCAGAGGTATCACTAAAGGTCTGTTTTGAGGCCCCTAATAAGCAACTGATGATAAGCTCCCATAATAACTTTCTTCACAGATGTTCTGACTACTGAGCCAGGTATTTGTACTACCCTTTAGCAATGCCCATGTATGCAAATGTATGTTTATCCAAATACAGACCTTACTTTCATTTTCTGTCGAGTCAGATATTATAGAATTAAACCAGCAGTCAGAAAACCATAGGTAGTTGCATGGAAAGCAATTTCCGTAAGTCATGGCAACAACAAAACTTAACAAGGGAATTAGTTTGCGGTTTTTCCAACAGCTTGCTTGTGGGAGGATTTACTCTATGGTCATCATTAGCAGAACCATTCACTGACCTCTAGATTTCCTCCCTACACACTGTCTGCACTGGGTTCAACTTCTGGAAGAGTATGTGTGTCCTAAGTACAGGGAACTGGGATTCTCAAGTCCACTGACCTCTTCAGCTTACCAAGCTTAAGTTTTCCTTGTTAAGAAAAGCAGAGCAATGTTGCCTGAGAAAAGCAAGTTACTTAGCCTTAACAAAGTGATACTAGTAATAAATTGGGAACACCAGAGAAATCCTGTAGCTTTTGACTGTCTTACATGGTGACAATATGTGCCACCAGCTTGGTGTTCTAGCCTCAGAGGCTAAGCATTAGCAAGGAGCTTCAACTCAGCATTTAAGAAAAGAATATGATACCTGCAAAGAAAACTTGCAGCAAAAACAAAACTGAGCGTCAGGAAAGAACTGACAGAGCTTTTAAGGGGAACTGGCAGAATGGCAAAGGAAAGCCCAGTACAAAAGACACAGAATATTTAACTGCGAAGCTCTATCCTAAGTTTGCACAAGGTTTTCAAAGCGATGTCCACAACAAAGGTTGTATTAATTACTCTCATCTCTAGCAAACCCAAATATGGTTTATCAGGAATGATCTCTATCTGCTTGAGTCTTTCAGTCCAAGTCCCTTGTCCACAATCTTCTGTAAGATTCAGCTCCTTGCATTTTACAATAAAGAGGAAACAATGCCAAGAATAAGCTTTTCACTTTCTGAGATGTTTTTGAAGCAGAAAGGACAGCACATCTAGCACCAAGGCAGGTCACAGATAGTATCACTCATCTAGCTCTTACCTCCCTCCCCCTCTGTAAGAACTGTTACATGGCAAGCATGTGCTTCTGCAGCAAACCAGTATAGCAATTACCATGAATTCTGTTTCAGACACTTAATGCCTATAAATAAGCAGCCCAAAATAACTGAGGATTACAGAAAATAGTGAGAGACTACTGCCATCTCAGGCATTCAGATAATTTGTTAGGCCTCTTCAGCTGGTAACCTACAGGCTGCACCCACTCCCCAACACAGCCGAGTAATCTCTTGCCTCTCAGCAATATTACTCTTTGCACTGGGGCTCTGGGGTGCAGCAACATGATGCTGAGGGAAAAGGCAAGTTCTATCATATTAGCCTGTCCCTTGAATAATCAGCACTTCTGAGTGAAAGACTGTTGCTGTACACCAATGCAGTGGGAAGAGTGCTCCCAGTAACAGCTTCAGTACCCAGAAGCAAAGAGAGGGACACACCTGTGCTTCCTTCCCAAGGCATTGCTATTTCGGAGGCTGCAAACCAGCCTCAAGGCATCAGTGTGGGACTGCCTCAGGCAATCAGAGCCTTATGCACTAGATACACACCCCTCCTCATTGCCCTCACTCTCAAGCCCTTCTCCATCTCCTAATGGCCAGTGGCTTCACTAGATACTACTCCCCCCATTCTCTCCCCAGCACTGGCATTCACCCAACCATGCGTTTCCATCTTGACCAGTCCAAAATCCTATTTGCTCTCTGAATTACAGGCAAAGGACTACACTTGCCTACATGAGCATCTTCATCAGGTTCCTTAAACTCCAAGTTCACCTTTTATCTGAAATGAAATTGCTCTGGCACCCCTCTACTCCCCCAACCCCTTTTTCAGATTTATTAAAAAGCATGAGAAAAGCACTTGCCACATGAGTGACAAGGAACATTGTTTGGAGGAACAGTTTTTCAAATGTGAGAGCAAGAATGTACTCCATGTAAGTGAGGACATAAAAAACCTTCTAGTGTATATTATTCCAAGTTTTACCAGATTGTAGAAATGATGTTGGACAAGTTTCTTCTCTGTAGTTCCCAAACAGATACAGACACAAAAGCACCCCAGACATTCTTTGCTCTTGTTTGAGCTTTAAGGCACAGATTCTCTTAGGTGCTGTACAACACATGAACAAGAATAATCTGAAGTCCTGTTTAAGAATGGCGAAGATCCCATCAAATTCAACAGGATACATACTTGGCTACCTCTTACAAAATGAAGACGACCTATTAAAAATATCAGTCTAAAACATCACCTGTTCTCTTGGCAGGGCCTGAAAACATCCCTCATTAACTGGAAATTGCAGTAGACATTGCCAACAGCTGTTTAATGGAGAATATATTACAAACATGCTGTGCAGCTTCAGAAATTTTGCACTTCTAAGACTTCTTTTATCTGTGGACTACAGCATGTTTACTAGGAGAAAGGCTC